ATTTGAATAGAAAAGTTGTATATCATTTTGCAAAATTCGCAATGATTACTGCGTAGTTAATTAATAAATGTGACCCAATGAGCGCACGGAAAGAGATAGTCCGGACTCTATAGGCGTATACGCTTATCAACTGTAAAAAAAGATGGCTTACTTCGTGCAATGTCCTAACAACGAGAGACGGAGTAAACAAGAAAGCGCGACGTGTGACAGCTTCTTGCGATCAGCCATAGACATATAAGAAATAGACTGCGCGTGTGAGAGGGAAAGTGTCCAACTACAGAGCGAGACAGATGCTTTCACTGGTGCCTCTATCTCTGTCTTTCATTCCTACTACTTTTCTTGTTTGCCAATCACCGCGTCACTAAACAAGAATAGAGACACGAGTGAAAGCATTTATCCTTGTCTGAGGTTGGACCATTCCTTTTCCCAGTCGTGGCTAGTCGCGTATCTTTGCAATGAGAGGCACGAGACCCGAGAAAGGGAGACGCACGAAGTCCAAATATGGGCATAGATGGTCGAGCGTCATTATGCGCAGGCGCATCTACCAAGTAAGTGCGAGCGAGACAAAGCATTAGAAAGTGAGAGAAAGAACGCGAGAAAGAGAAATGCGCAAGCGTGCTTGAATGTTCACCGCATGCGCACAAAGCAGCCGGAGAGAGAGGCTACTATATTGTCTGCACCGTAACATTGAGCTTCAGGTCGGCACCGTACTAGCCAGGGTTGCCTTTTCCACAAAAAAGATAGGGAACGCGCAGTCTATAGACCGAAGCAGACTTTTGCATAACGCATAACGCATAAGACATAAGAAAATCAACCAATCCAGCTTTTCGTTTTCATCCCTACTTCTTGTTCTAGAAAGCTTTGATTGGTTGATTCTCTTATGTCTCGTGCGTTATGCATTATGCAAAAGTCTGTGCTTCGGCCTTATTTCTTATGGCTGCTTTCCTTTTAGGAGACACAGTCGACACAAAAGTCATTCTGTCTTCGTTCAGTATTCAGTGAGAAACAAAGACAGAATGACTCTTGTGTCGACTGTGTCTCCTAAAAGGAAAGCAGCCTATATGTCTATGCGATCAGCTGCTATTAAGCGGTACAGAGAAAGCAGCAAGGGATAAGAAGGCTTCTTACTCGCAATCATGTGATTCTCACGGCGCAGCGAACAGCGGCAAGCAGCACAGAAAAAGCGTGTGATACAGAAAACTAACACAGACGTCTACTCGTCCAATTAATAGTAATATTTTTTTCGTGACAGAAGGAAATAAAAACGCTATTATCTTCTTACTTCCTCGCGGAAAGTAACTTTCTCAGCTGCTTTTTCCGTACCACCGAATATCAGCTGATCGCAAAAAGCTGTCACACGTCGCGTTTGCTTGTTTACTCCGTCTCTCGGTGCTAGGACTGGCTCAGTGGTCTCGCGGCCTGAGTGCAGAGGTTGCGAACTCGGAGATCCGAGTTCGAATCCGCTTACCACCTAAGGATTTTTTCCGGGCCGGTTCCTTTCAACCGAGTTATCGGTTGATCGGCGAACTAAAACGGGTCTCCAAAAAATTAATTCAGGTGTAGTGCCGAATTAATTCCTTTCCCACAAGACGATCATAGTCATCTTGAGCACGAGCCTGACACAGATGAGCACGTTCACTGTGAAAGAAGGCCGTGTATCGCGTGGTAGTAGTGTACTGTACAATCCCCCCTTGTGATAAGTATAGATTCAATTAAGAAGATAATATGTATAGCCAAAAACCGTGTAGGTGGCTGAAGGCACTTAAGAGAGTCCTGGACCTTCCTGTTATACCGATCGAACGAATAATTCGTATTAGACGGTGTTTTTTGTATTTATTGCTTGGATAGAAAAACGGCTCTACAGAATAAAAGAAAATAATGAAATTAATCTCGGACACTTTTCAATATATCAAAAACTTAACAACAATTTTTGAAGTTGAAACAATCACTTCCACTTTTATTGTACTGGTATTTACAGTTTAAGAGTTATGCATAAAAACCAAATTAGTGTCCGAGATAAACATAACATTCAAGAATGTAATGAGACTATTAGACTACGATTTGGAAGCCAAAAATACATAAACACCGTCTAATACGTTTAAATCTAATATAACCTCTTTTTATATATGTATGTCCTTGGAAAAAAAAACCGGCTCAGTGGTCTCGCGGTCTGAGTGCAGAGTCTGCGAACCCGGAGGTCTCGAGTTCGAATCCGCTCACCACCTAAGGATTTTTTTCCGGGCCTTTCAATCAAGTATATTGATTGATTTGGCGAACTGAATCAAGACTCAAAAAATTAATTCGAGTGTAATCTCGAATTAATAATCCCCCTCTAAGGCGATCAGAGTCACATCTTGAGACGAGCCCGACACAAATGGGCACGCCCACTGTGAAAGAAAGCTGTGTATTGCGTGGTAGGGACAAGAACTGCACAAGTTAAGTAAATAGAGAGACCAAAAAGTAGAAACAAGGAGAAAGATATGAGTGTGGTCCACAAAAACCGTGCAACATCGGTTAAGAGGCACGTTAAAAACAAATGACATTAAAAAAAAATGTATGTCCTTGTTTCTCTAATGACGTTCTATGGTTGATGTCACTTGTATCGGTAATAGTCACGATATACATATATAGTACGCTCCAGGACCCTCTTAAACCCGTAAGAGAAAAAAAAGACATTGCATGAAGGAAGCCATCTTTCTTCACAACCGATAAGCGCGTACGCCTACAGAGCTTACATTTATTAATTAACTATTCAATACCTATTGCGAATTTTGCAAACTGATATATAACTTTTCTATTCAGATTAATCTAACGTAATCTACCTTCACACTTCGGCTTGGTCAAAATGTTTAGGACACCCTGTATATATATATATATATATATATACAGGATGTCCCATAATGACCGTCTCACCGCTCGTAGGCAAAAAGAAGAGGTTATTCTTAGACAAAAAGTCCTATATCAATTTAGAAGATTCGCAATAATTAACGAGATAAATATCCGCTAATCAGCGTGCATTCAGCATAAGGGGAGCGTAAGAACAGCCTAGTCTTTCTCGTGCTCCCCGAACGCAGCTTGCTGTTTATGTATAGGTGCATATGCTATTCTATTAGCTCCTCCTATTCCACCGCAACGGCGCATCTGCGCGAAAGACTAGGCTGTCCTTACGCTCCCCTTATGCTGGATGCATGCTGATTAGCGGATATTTATTAATTCATATCTCGTTAATTATCGCGAATCTTCCAAAGTGGTATAGGACTTTTCGTCTTAGAATAACCCCTTGTTCTTGCCTAGGAGTGGTGAGACGACAATTATGGGACACCCTGTATACACACACACTACAGTGTTAAAGTAGAATAAATGAGCAATAAAAGTTGTATTAATTAAAATTTTAGTATTACATAATTTTTAAAGCGTAAATTTTGTTTAAAAAATATTAAATATGTAATTATTATTATTACATATATTTTTTCTTTTTCTAAGTGTATTTAAATTAGTGAAATATGTATAGCATATATTATTTTTTATTTTTTGTTGGTTTTTTTTTTATACTAGTAAAAACTTATTGGTAAATGTTCTCATTGAATCTAGTAGAAATATAAAGAGTAATGGTAAGTACTAAAAATAAAAAAACGTCCGAAACAGGAGGAGTTTAAGAAGACGTTGGATTATTTTTTCACTGAGTGAAAATCAAAAGATTCTTAGCGTTCTTATTTGCCTTTCCTGCCGTAAACAATCCTTTAACTTTATTCTTCATACAAAATAATAAATCACATATACATATGATTAATAATCAAATATACTTACATCACATAAAAAATATACAGTAGTAATAATAATAAAACAATATAATATATTATGTACGTACGTAATGATATCATCAAAAATCAACGGAAGACTGTTTAAAGTTCAAAGTTTTAGTGATGTTAGTAGACATTCTTTAACTTCTCTTTAGACCGCTGGCATTTTTTCATTAAAAACATGGCATATTCCCGCAGTAAATTTTACATAAAGTACTGAGTTTATTACATAGAGTATATTACATAGAGTGTCCTAATTTTAACCGGGCTCTGATCCCGGTGTCAAGCCAGTGGGAAACGAAAGTGAAAATTATAAAATTTTCAAATTTTGAAAAATAGTATTTCTAGGGAGATTATTATTCATATCGCTAATTACGTTTTTGAAGTCGAATTGCAAAATTCTTTCAATACAGTAGCATTATTACTAAGCTAATCATGTATAAATTTTGTACCTTTAGATTACGGCGCATTCGAAAGCTAAACTGCACCATCCAACAACATATTTAGATTTTCTAAATATTTTTTCTCACAATGTAAGTCAAATAAAAGTAAACTCTTCTTCAAAATACGATATAATAATAGCGTCCCCATAGTGATGCCATATAGCATCATGCCGGCGGTCTACAAGTTAAAAACAGATAGAAAACTATCGCATTATGTTATGTTAAAATATTCTTATTAAAGAGACATTAGTATTGGTTTTTGACACAATCAATACGAATCACGCCAGTTAAATATATTGCGAATTCTGGATAAGTTGTATATAATATAAGAGTATACTTTATTATACGGTGAGAAAGTATATTTTATGTTGCATAAATTTAAGCAGAATTTGCAATATAATTCACATAATATTGTTCTATTGTACTGAGTACATTTACACAAAGTGTTATAGAACATACTTTAATCGCAAGTACGCTTTATAAATGGTTCTTTAAACTCAGTATCGTTTCTTGACTTCATTTTTATTAAAATATATACTCTTTACGCGCACGTTGATAACATCACATATTCTCCAATTTCATACTGAAGTTACGTTAGAGCTTTGGTAAGACAAAATTTGTGTAAACCGTTATGAAACTGAAATTTTCAAAAGAATTATCAAGAAGTTAGTAATATTTTATATACAAAATCTTAAAAACATTTCAAGAACACACGAAAACAAATATTTTTTCTCTCTCTCTCTCTCTCTCTCTTTCTCTCTTTCTCTCTCTTTCTCTTCTTTTCCTATGAGAAAACTAATAATATTCATAATAATGTTAGAAAAACAGAAATCAACCGTCACTTACAACAAACGTACAAATAACCGCCAATTAACCACATTTTGTAAAAACCTTAATTACGCAATTAGATTTGTTAAGCTTATCTTTGAATCCGGCAGACTGTCGAGAATATAATGCGGAGAATGTGCCACAGACGTGAGATCGGCTTCGTACAACGTTAGTTGAAGCTCCTTTCGTGCTTTTTGTACAATGTAAACCATCAGCGAGACTCCGACTAATATCTGCGACAGAACAGCAACAATTATTATTTTAAGCTCTCATCGATACGCTTTAATTGCAAATCGTTTTATTGTGTGCAAAATAATACACAATCGAGTTAACTACAATCAGGGCCGGCATCAGTATGTGGAATAGGAGAGTACTCCACACATGTGAACTTGAGGTCTGTGGAATTTCCACATATATCGAGCAATCGAACTATATGTTTGCCAAAAGATATTTATCGAAAAATGTTTTTTGAAATAATAGATCAAACTCCTTGTTTTCTAAAAGATAGATTTGAAAACGAAGCACTGTCGTTCGTAAGGAAATGTGAACGGTATATAATTAATAGCGAGTCCGACAATATGTTTATAACAAATTTTTATAATATCAGTAAAGAAGATCATCTTGATCCCAAAGATTAGAATTGCATCGCGAAATTTGTTTTGACATAATGCGTAATCGCAAAGTAAAAGCCAACAGTTTGAAAGATGTAGTTAACTTTATAAAAAGTAACTTATCACCTTTAAGTATCGTGTTAGAGTTTGTAAAACTAATAAAATTACTACTTGTTATATCTGTGTCAACTTTTACTTGCGAGGGGTCGTTTTCTGCGTAAACCGATTCAAAAATTACTTACGTTCGACAATGCTTCAAAATAGGTTAAATAGCGTTACCATAATGAATTTGTATAAAGAACCTGAATCGATAGATTTAGAAGAACTAGTAAATGAATTCATATGCAAAAATAACATTCGACGCGCGCGAGCTACATTTTCATTGAAAAATAAAATAAAAATAAAATAAGTATGTATATTTTTTACATATAAATTCAATGACTAATTCTTTTAAAATTATCGATTTATTCTCCTTTGAACCACACCACACATGTAAAAAAGTTACTTCGCCGGCCCTGACTACAATTGTTGTATACCTGAAAGCAAAAGACTATGTAGCCGGTTGCCGCTGTTGATCTGTCTTCCAGCACATCTTGCATCGATCGCAAACTGCTTCCCAAATAAACGTTGATCAGTTGGGCAGGCAATAAACCTACCGCACTGGCCACGTGATAATGAAAACCACGTATATTACTGACCTAATTGTATGTAAGAGATAAAATATACAATTAAAATTTGCATATAATATTTTGCATATGTAGTAAAACTAGACAATACATACGGCAAAAATCGTGTTTTGAAGACCGAATGGGACTGGAGTGAGTCGTGCGAACAGCACGATCTTGAACGCATGAGATCCGGAAATGACGCGAAGAATCGCTTTCGCCGTGTCGTTTTGCAAGAGAGCTCCGATCGGCAGTCTAGTGGACAACAATCCTAGGGTGACGTGAGCTATTGCGATGCCGAGATTAGCGGACAGCACGACGATTGCCATGCCGTGTATCATGCCGAATAGATAGCCACTGGCAACGATAAGGAACAAGTAGCCGATAACAATAGGAAACGACACCACCGTGAACAAGCCTATGAAGATTACAGCAATGATCCAGGCATTCTGATGCTCGATCCAGTAGAGAAGCACCTTGATGTAATCTCTACAGATGAAGACTATAGCACCAAGGAAGGCTAAGGTAGCAATTGTAATTCCAACATAGCACAGTGAGTTTGAGCTGATGCAGAAAGGTATCCCTGAGCTCTTGGAAGAACGCATTCCAGTCTCAACATCATCCATGCTGATAATCCGGTCCATGTTTGATTAACTTTTCTTTTTTTCAAATACATTAATTGACAGTCTTTTGATACATTACATCTTTTTTAACAGCAATGTGCTCCTGAATAATTACCGTACAATTTAAAAAAATTTATAAAATATAATTTACCTAAACATTAAAAATATATTTAAAATAATAACAAATGAGTAAAATATATATTTGATAATAAAGTATATTGGAAAAACAATAATGAATAACAAAGAAAAATAGAAAACAAGAGTTTCAGTAAATTTTACCTTGCAACCTTGGGTACAGAAACAGTTTTTTAAACCTTTTACCCCATTACTCAAAACACATGCAATTTTTTCCAAAGTGTCATTTGTGCATTTCTATGTTAAACATGACTCCTGTTTCTACGAATACTACTTCATATAAAAATGCATTAGAACTTTGACACACAGTCACGTTGTATTCAACGCAAATATATGCAAATATATGATTATACTGCTATAACCGCTTATAATTCTCATCGATTAACATTTTCCATTGCACAGAAAATTACAGTTTCAATTTTAATCATTATAATTGGATCACTAGTAATTACATCTAAATTGTTGTAAACAGCCACTATCCACACATGTTTAAAAACACGAACGTTGTAAACAATAGATCCGAAATTGGTCCCAGAAACAGTCACCAGAACTCGGACCAATCGTGTCGGTCAAAACCGAATTCAAGTTTAGTAAATTTCGTCTCGATTGGTCAAATTTCAATTTGCTCTTTGATCCTAAGGTTTGTTTTTTTCCTGAACTGGCTGCACTAGTTCACAGTCTATCTTTTTCTTTCTAAATGTGGATAAAAAAAGATAGACTGTGAACTACTAGTGCGGCGAGTTCAGGGAGAAAAACAAACCTCTAATTTCTGGCACGGACATTACGGGACGTTCTGCTCTGTAGTCAACACTTCTCGATTTCAGTCTAGCGTAGTGTGGTACGATGGAATTTTGGCGTATGGGCTGCCTTTTATAGCCCGCGAGTCACAACTGTACCGTGTACGATGGAAGTTTATGTGGGAGGTTGACAACGACTTCGAAGTGACAGAAGTCGATACGTACGACGCTGCGAACTGACAAATAAGCGCGAAGAGGATAACGACGACGATGGACGCCGAGGAGCAAGATCGGATGAACTGCGAGATCGACGAGATCGAGAACTCGGACGAAAGCAGCGAAAGCAGACCGTCTGGAGAACGTTGGGCGCCCGTTGGCGCGAACGACGGCGACAATGAGTTCACAGACGAATATAAATTCAACGACGCCTACGTAGACAAGTGCGTCCGCAATTTCTTCTCCGTTTGAAATGTCATTTTGATTGAAGAAAGACGGAATAATTCTCGAACTGAATATGTATATATAAATTTGCTCAGAGACGCAGAAATTTAATGTAGAAAATTTGTCCACCTGTTGTCGCATATGTATCTTGCGTTTGCGAAGCATTTAAAAATACATTTGCTCTCTTTTTTTGTGTAAAAATGTGTAACTGAATATAAATGCCATTAATTTCATTAATGCAGTCTCACTTACGATATGGAAAGAGTCAAGATATTAGAGGAAGAACAAGATGTGCTCAGCTCCTCTCTGATGGCATTAACCAGTCATTTTGCTCAGGTATTAAATTTAGGTTCTTTATGCATGTCTCATACACACAGTGATTTATTTCTATATAGAAATCAATGGAATTGTATTCAGGTTCAATTACGTTTACGACAAATTGTCAACGCACCTGCCAACGAAAAGGAGACACTGCTCAAAGAATTAGAGGAATTTGCATTTAGAGGAATACCAAATTTATTGTTAGACATAAGACCTAGCACACCAATAACTTCTGCAATTCATGAGAAAATGGTAAACAAATATATAAATTTGAGCTTTTTTATTTTATTGCACATCAGGCTTATATATCATAATTTTTTCTAATATTCCTTTTGCATAAAATTTATTTGTAAATGTGTAATATAGTTTTGTAATATGTAGGTGACTGGTGTAATTACTGATGCAGAAGTTGAGTCCAAAATGGCACTGCAAAGAATAAAACAAAAGGAATTGATCAGTCAATTGAAAACTCAATTGGAAGATCTGGAGAAGTACGCGTACGAAACTGGTGACGCTGACTTGCCACAAAGCGTTATTTTAGAAAGACAAAACATCATAATCAGTAAGTTCTGAAATATTATTGAGATTGTATTTAAAAAAACTACAATAAAACTTTTGCATTCGGAAAAGAGAAATCAGAAGATGAAATAAAAATTACAATTTTTTTCACAGATCATTTGAAAGAGAAGTTGAACTTTAACGTCGACGATTTGTGCAAGTTGCCAGCGGACGATCTTAGATGGCAAGTCGATTACGCTATCAGTCAAGTAAGTCAATTTGTATTATAAAGCACTACAGTGACTGTAGATAGAATTCTTATAAATGAGAAATAATATGCTTTAAATTAATTGATGTAACTATACGTAACAGATATACTGATATATATATTTATTACTTGACAGATTGTCAGTCCCTTGAAGATGAAGGAGCAACTGGTCTGCCAGCTGAAAACGCAGATCGCCGATTTGGAACGCTTCATTAATTACCTCCAAGGTGAGGTGAGCACAGAGACTCTAGCATGCACGTGCGCCTGTCCGATTCACGCGAGTGGTTCCGGCACCTCTTCAGCCTCTTTCGGCTCGAGACGGCGTTTCGAGCAGAGGAAGCGCATCGAGCAGGACACGAGTGACAATACTCGCACGCTGAACACTGTACGAAAAGTGGTCGCGCTTTTGCACATGTTTCTGATGTCGCAATTGGGTTGTGGCAGTGAACGCGTGCGTCGCAATTTTGGCAGCAACAGCAGCAAGAAGAATTCGTTGCACAACTGGCGCGATCTGCGTACCAGGCTAGACATCGCGGTGGAGCATGTGCTCGAGATGCTCGCGGAAACCTCACGGCAGCAGCAGCAACGTCACGACGACGACGATGAGAATGACGACATGGACGAGAATGACTACATGTCCGATTCGGACGCGGCGTCACACGCGAACACGAAGCTCACGTCCGCCGTCAGAAAGCATCTCGCTGTGTCGATCCGAGATTTAATGCAGCACGGTCTGACCGCGGACGTAACGCGCTCCGCGTCCAGCGTGGTACCGTTTATCGGCTGCTTTCCACAGCGCAACATCACGTCGGCGAATTTCATGCATGTCTGGGAACTGATACTGAAATACTACGAGATCAAGAACGGCCGCCGTTACAACACCAGTCCCGCGCAGAAACTGTCGCAGAGCTTTAACCTCGATCTCGCAGCCGGGAGAATAGCTTCCTCGAAGCAGGTACGCGGATTCTCATTCGAAAGATACAGAATGTTTACTTAGTATGATCTGATGTTTTTTATTTTTGTTGTACACGAAAATATACAAAAATTAAAATTTTTAAATTTAATGTTTCTTTGTTTTGTTTTTGTTTAGAGCTTATTGATAACTATAGGCGACATCATTGCCTCCCACAGTCCATACAAACGAAGTTACGATTCGCATTTCAAGGCGTTTGTATGCGCGGCTTTGAAGTGAGTAATTTATCATAGTGTAAATATATGAACAACAATTGCGCAGAAGTTTTCTCAAAATTAATTGTTTGTTGGTTAATTCACAAAATTCATCTTTTAGCGCAAACAAACTTGTGATATGGCTGAAACTAATTTTACAATGTCAATATCTTCTGGAAAATTATTATCTCTCATGGAGCTACGTTGTAAAAACAGGTACGTCAAAATGTGCACAGTTACAAAATATATTTGATTTTAATTTGATAAAATTTCCAGGTTTTCAAGATGCATTTCATACCTTGGACCGCCTGACTAGTTACAAGTTTGATCTGCCAGTGGATTTGGCTGTTCGACAATTTCAAAACATAAAGGATGCATTTTGATCACACAGTCATATTGTTATCGTTATTGTTACGTTAGGGGAAATATAGAACACACACACACACACACATATATATACATGTATAAAAAGATACTTTCAGTATTTACTGTGACATAAGCTATAATAAGGTAAGACGAATCAATGAGACTTAGAACGCTTAAGTAATTTTCTTGACTGTTTGACTATGAAGAAATATGTAAAATATATTTTAGATATTCTTCGGTTGACTTTTCATGTTGTTTCTTTTTTTATCAGTGTCGTCTTAATTATTTATAATAACGATATATATGTATTTATAGAAAAAACTTTGAACATTGAGATAATGTTAGTGAAATCCAACTCTGTTTTTGTATTCTGTGTATTTTTTTCTAGTCTCAACTTAAGAAAAATATTCAAGAGTTCTGTTTTTAACGATTGTATGCAAAATATTATTATATATAGAAACGTTCCTTTTCTTAGTCTTTAAGTATAACCAAAAATATATCAAATGTACATATATAGCAAGATAAATTGCAATATAGGTAATAGACAATATCTCAAATCATAACGATGATTTATAATATAAATTAGTTGTAAAAATATGCAAAATATGCACTCGTTTTTTTTTTTAAATAAGAGATATACATTTATCTGCGAGTTTTAAAGGGATCTCTCTTGGTTGAAATCTTTGAGCGATATTGGTTTTTCTCCCAAATATTCAACGTAGCATCAAAACTGAATTAAAGCTAGTCAAAAAAAAAAACTTGCTATTTCACATATGTTCAGTATTAGCGTATTTTAAGCGAAACATTCCAAAGAAAGACATACCAAAGACTTATAATATCACTATTATTACACCTGAAGGCTTGTTACACTATACTGTTTATATTGCAAATTATTATATATATAGACGTAGCACACGAAAATAATGCGTATAACACATATAAACACAATTTATATTTATATAATATGTATATGTTTTTTGTAAGATAAAAATAGCGGAATTATTTTAAATTAGTTTTCTGTAGATATACAAAAACAAAGCGTACAATTACAAAAAATATATTAATGCTGCAATGTAAATATATAATTGTAAAATAATTGTTCCTGATCAATCTTCTCGACAGAGAAGATATCTTAATGTTTTTTTTTTAATTATGAAAATAAAAATTCTTTTTATTTTCCCTAATAAGCGGGCAATGTCTGGAAAACGTTAACACGACGGAGAAAACAGTATAAAAAATAATATGAAATCGGTTGTTTATTTCTTTTGGAGGTTTTACATCGGTATAGTTTCCATACAAATTTTCCTTGCCGCGTTTGTGGTACGGTTAGATCGTATTATTGGCCTCACCTTGACACACAATTAGGATTTACAACAAAAAGAACTATCAAATGGTACGTTACTAAGTATATATATATATATACAGGGTGTCCCAAAAGGGGGGAATAATTATATTAGGGTATACTATAATTTTATATTATACCCTATTATAAAATAATGCAATAAAAAATTGGGAGTTCCATTTAAAAAAATCGATATGATCTTGACCTGACCTTGGCGGCGCCATCCAAGATCGCACTGATACAACTAGTAAATAGATCCTTTTATCTGAAACACTTTTTCGTAAAATGCCTCGTTTTCGAGATTTTTTGATACCGGTATTTTTTATATACCCTGTATATATATATATGTATATTAATCGATAGAAATAGTACAAACTATTATCAGCGGTACAAACACGTGAGACAACATTGTGAATTATTTACAGAACTGTCACATCGATTATTCGCTGGAAGAGTATCGTTAAAAAATTTATATCAATATCAACGACGTCTTGATGTGTAAGAGAACATAAATATCTATATATCAAGTGTAGTAGAAAGTTCTTAGCTTTTTTGACCAAATTCAATCTTTATCTGAAAAAACAAAACAAACAAAAAGAACTTAATCATTGAAATATTCCCCGTTATTATCAATGACCTGTCATTTTTCGGAGAGCCTGCGAATATACAGGGTGTCACATAATTGCTGTCTCACCGCTCGTAGGCAAGAAGGGGTTATTCTAAGACGAAAAGTCCTATCCCACTTTGGAAAATTCGCAATAATTTGGAATACAATAGCGCGAATAGCGCGCTATCCGAACGCAGCCTATGTGCTGTCTATGTATGCACATGTTATTCTATTAGTTCCTCCTATTCCGTCGCTACGGCGCGACAGACTGGGCTGTCCTTACGCTGGGTGCATGCTGATTAGCGGATCTTAATTAATTAATATTTCGTTAATTATTGCGAATCTTCCAAAGTGGTATAGGACTTTTCGTCTTAGAATAACCCCTTTTATCTGCCTACAAGCGGTAAGACGGCAATTACGGGACACTCTGTATATATAATCCCAGTCAAATAATAAAAGCCGGTTTCGAAGCGATAAAATCATCGATGCTTTTTTAGACTTCTGTTTTGAAGTATCAGATATCAGAAAAATCTATAGATTTTCAGTTACTGCCAGTAATAACCAAATAACAGTTTCAGTCAAGTGATGCTGCATCGCCCGGAAATTCCGGAATAAGTGATAATCGGAAGGAACTATATTTTGTGAATACGCTGAGTGAGCCTGAAGCAAAAATGATCTGTTTCGTCGTTTCAGTAGCATGTGACCACACGTTGTCATGCAGAAGAATGACTTTGTGACTTTCTTGTTTAGTAAACGGCCTCTTTTCTTCCAATGCGTCGCTCAAATTGATAAGTTGCGATCTGTTGTGACTGTGTTTCATCCAATTTTAGCAACTTATAATACAACACACTTTTCAGATACACAGCAAAATCGTTTTGGTGAATTTTGAGCTTTACAGTAAATGAAATTTATATTAATTTTTACACGTTGTATAATAGATAATATTATCACTAGATGTGCAGTATAAATTATTTCGGCGGCTTCGTCGTTATTTTTTAGATGAAATGCCAGATGGATATTGAATATGATTTTTTTATTTTAGCTATCATACAAGGTGGAAAAAAGTACCTGAATATCTCAGAAAATATAAGTTTTACAGAAAAGTGTTTCAAATAAAAGTAGTATGGTTTAAAAAGATCTATTTACTGATTATTGTGACCTTGGATTGCCGCCGCCAAGATCAGATTACATCGATTTTTTTAAATAGAACTCCCTATTTTTTATTGCAGATTCTTATAGCCTAACTCAAGAGCTTTCTAAAACACTATAATAAAGTTATTTTATTTTCATTAAGTACTTTTTGACTTATAAGGGTTGAATATTAGAGTACCGCCGATACTTTTTCTACAAAAATTATTTCGATCGAATTTTGTGAGTTCATGATGCTGAGAATTGACAAAGAACCTTATTTCTTATTCAAGATAGTTTTGTTTTCGATAAAGCAACATTCGAAATGAATGATAACGCCAATAGATAATGCTAATATACCGGCAATACTCTAATATTCAACCCTCATAAGTCAAAAAGTACTTAATGAAAATAAAATAACTTTATTATAGTGTTTTTGGAAGCTCTTGAGTTAGGCTATAAGAATCCGCAATAAAAAATAGGGAGTTCTATTTTAAAAAATCGATGTCATCTGATCTTGGCGACGGCAATCCAAGGTCACAGCAATCAGTAAATAGATCTTTTTAAACTATACTACTTTTGTTTGAAACACTTTTTTGTAAAACTTATATTTTTTGAGATATTCAGGTGTTCCGGTACTTTTTTCCACCCTGTATATGAATAATACTGACTTTTGAGATTGTGTCGCAGATGTTCCGTCATATCACGTAACGTTTTATAATCATTAATTTAAGTCCTACACGCCATTATAGTGATTTTCCAGTAGGTGATCTTTTAGAACGATCTTTTCGCCACTGGTTTTCTTTTTTTATCTCGCATTAGAAACCGTATACAACGTTGTTACAATGGAAATGTTTTTACATTTTTTAAATATCGTTAATTTACATTTCGCGGCTGTTCGTACAACAGTACAGCTGTACAGCTCCACAGCTAGTTCAAGCCGTAGCAAAAAGGTTAATGTCAAAAACCTCAAAATCATAAAAAGACGGAAAAATATTTCGATTTGAAATGTTGCTTTGGTCAATGTAAAAACTAAGCTAAAAACTTTTTACCACATCTAATGAAATAGCGGTACAGTGGAGATTTTTTTGGTCGCATATAATGATACACATATACGTATCGCTCCGATAAGATAATTAGGTCCGTGATTAAGAGATCGCATTGTTTTTTTTTTTTAATGGAAGAGCTTTGATTAGAACACTTGTTTCCACACACACACACGCAATCTACTTTATATAAATCCATGTCTAAAAATAAAAATATATTTTTATTTTTAATAAAATGGATTTATACGTGTATATATATATATATATGTATGAGAAAGGCATTTTTTAAAAATAAATTTTTCAAACTCTGTGTTCTGTGTCTAAGCGTGGCGAAAATATTTTTCCTTCTAAACAGAGGTGTGCCAGTATTCTCTCTTCTCTAACAGTTGATCGGAATAGATACGTACACGTGGAAACGTGTTTGAAATTCATTAAAACAAATTGAGCGAGTCACATATAGCTTACAAGTAATCTATGTAATTGTATTAGATGTCGAATATAAAATTTATATAAAAAACCAGAGATTATTACACATGACACTTATTGTTAGTAACATACAACTAGTGCGCGGAAAAATCTCCGTAATATATTTACTGCTAACGATATAAACATTTACTGGAATGCGGCAGTGATATAAGAAAGCTTCTGGTTTCAGTCTCTCTGTACGTTTTGCTAAACTATAATTAACAATATAAACACTAAGCGGATTGCAAACTATAAATTAAAAAAAACCAAATACATAGACAAAAATGCAGTCTTAAACACGGAAGTGTTTTTTTCTCCCGTATATATTTTAATATAGTAAAATATAATACGTTGAATTTTTTTACATACGATAATAAAAATTTCTTCGCGTGCGTGACAAGTCGTCGAATGCGTATTAAAAATTATGCAACTTTATGTGAGGAAAATGCGCTTTTTGTGTTTCCTCTCGATTTACAATTGCGATGTATAGTCTCGTATTTCGGGTTTGCTAAGTAGTAGTTCTTCATAAGTCTTCTCTCATTAATATCGTCATATAAGCACATTAAATATAAATTTTACCTATTTGTGTTCTTCTTTCTTTTCTTTTTATTCGATATATAGCGAACTCTATAACAACCTAACACACGTCTAACAATCAAGAAGCCTCTAAATACAACGTCGCTTACACGCGGCGTTTTTATAGACACGTCATCGCTTTTTTAGTGTTTGTACAGGCTCGACAATGCTGTGTAAAAGCGTAAGTAATCAACATGGAAGAAACTTCGAACTGATACGATAAAAGTGCAAGAAGCATTAATACGTCCCTCCACAAAAAGAAGGACAAATATTTTTATTTCAGAAGATGAAAAGTGAGTTAACACACAGAGTAATTTTCATTTATATTCGATTTCTTGTGGAAAAAAATTACCGCACATCAACGCAACGAGTCTTCTCTGTCTTCACTCTGCACATTGGTCCTTTTTTCGCATTGGTCAACGAAATTACAACTGATATCAAAATATCAAACAAATCTAATAAGATGTTAAAGGAATAATTGGAGTACTAAGTGCCTATCTTTTGGCAACAAGAGTAGTATGAGAAAAAAAATAGAGCTAACTAAAATCCTGTCAATCATTTTGCGTTTCATGACATACGGTCACTCACCTGGAATCGTCGATCAAAGTAAGATATGTAAGCGTATAAACTAATGTCGCTTAATTCCTAATTGATCGATCAAGTGTTGCGTTTCACACACGAATACGCAATGGGATGCTGTCGGTTTTGCATTCTGCCTCCAGCTCCTGTCTGATGCCGTCGAGAGTCTGATAGATTGTGCGAAAAGTCGGCCGATCAGACGGCCGTCTATTCCAGCAGAGCTTCATTAGATCGTAGATCGACTGCGGCGTGTTGTCTGGACAGCGCAACATGTTGCCTTCCTTGATGTACTTCACGACCTCCTCGTGGGTCATTCCGTAGTATGGTTGCAACGCGAAGCTGAAAATCTCCCACAAACACACTGCAAATGCCCACACGTCCGACTCGACCGTGTACTTGTTGTACAATATGCTTTCCAGCGGCATCCATCTTACTGGTATTGCATCCTGCTCGTCTCCTAATAAAACAATATTAAGATATTATTAAATGTCATCTTTCTGTTAATTTGTTTCTGTTATAAAATGTTAAAAGTAGCACTTAAAAAGAAAGAAAAAAAAAAGAAAACCTTTATAATAATCTTGCAGGTAGATCTTCTGCGACAATCCGAAGTCGGCGATCTTGACAATCATCTGATCGTTTATCAGACAGTTGCGCGTTGCTAGATCACGGTGAACGAATTTCCGGTCGGACAGATAAACCATACCGGAGGCTACCTGCAGCGCGATGTTGATCAGATCCATGTGCGTGAGCCGCGCTAATTCACCGGTCGTTGCGCTACTATCATTCGTATTGAACGACACGCGGATGACATAATTGCTCGGCGAGCACGAGCGCAAAAATTCGTTCAAGTCGCCGCGACCCATGTACTCAAACAGCAGACACATCGGTCGTCCCAGAGCGCACACGCCGAGCAGCTTCACAATATTCGGATGATCAAACTCGGCGAGCAAACAGGCCTCGCGTTCGAAATCGCGTAGGAGATCGTCTGAGGCCTCCTCCTTCAGCATTTTCACAGCGACGTTCGTGAACTCCTCGCCGGAAACGAGTCCTGGCGCTTTTGCCTGAAATACGCGACCAAACGCGCCCTGTCCGAGATCCCGCACATAAATGATGTTATTCCGCGGAAACTCCAGCTTTTCCAGTTTCGGATTTAGTTGAGCGCTCGTCTTGTGATACGCTTCGTTGTTCGGTAATTTGTCCAAATCGATATTCACAGCCTGAGAAGGATATATTTAAGATGCAATTATTTTTTTACTTCAAACTTCATAATTAAGTAAAAAAAAAAACTTACTTGAGTATCTGTCGGATTGTAGCCTCGATGACGCTTGTGCAATTTTTGACTTAAATAAACGGATAGCAATCCACCGGCCAAAATTACAAGACTTAATGTCGATAGAACGAGCACGATTGTATGATTCAAAGTATCTAATATTATATTATAGTTTTTCTTTCTTCCATCGTTTTCCATTTTAGTTGTAACATTGTCTAAAAGAATATTATTCATTATTGAAACAAAAATAAAAATTACAATAAAAAGTTCTTAATAATTCAGCTGTGCTTACCACATTCGGGAATATCGCAATGCTGCCAGCGTATTAAAGGATCGGTCGTGAAGCACCACGGCATCGGTTCGTCACCGCCTGCATTTCGACAGTAATTCTCGCCGTAGCGAATTTGCGGAAAAACATCGGGCGGCTTATCGTGATTATGCGGAATTTGCGCACTCCACGACTGGCAATCTAGGCCGTACTTGGTCTTGTTAATTTTTCCCATATAAAATCTGCCGTTGTTTCTGATACAATCATCTGCAAAAATCGATTCATAATGGTTGGTCATTTAATTTATTGTTTATTGTAAAAAATCCAGTAACTTACAGGTAACAGTTTCTTCGTCCATGTCGGTCAGATGGACATGTGAGCATGTGGGTACTTCCTTATTAACTTTAGGAAGACTCTCGCATTCCGGCAACGAGAAATGTCCACGAGAGCGGAAGTAAACATCTCTTTGCTTGTTGTCCTCAATCATTGCCCAGTCATTGAAGCAGAATTGCTGACGCACCGCCATACAATCTTCGTAACACAAAGGCAAGCCTACTGACTCATGACACAGTGGAAATGCATACATGCACAACATTTTCTGTAACACATCAAGATCTATTAATTACCTGATTTTTCGTTGAAACAAGAATCTGATCAGAATTTTATAAAATTATCAAGAGATACTTTATTATGCAAATAGTAAAATAATATACCTCTGCTGCAGATCGACATGGTTCCATTAAAGTCTCTATCAAGTCTTTCCAGAGATCTGTTGTGATCTTCTCATTGAGCCAACCACCAGGATTGTCATTGGAATCATTGAACCATACTTTGCCGATACCATTGAGATATTTCTGACAAATCTTGCCACTGTACGGAGCACAGTAACCTTGTACTTCTGGCCCTGACAGAGCCAAATACAAACCATATATATATGTATATTTCAGTGCACTAGTTACATTAAAAAATCATTTATAACATGTTACGAGTAATAGAAAATACATACTTGCTAGAATGGCACTGAAGCACAGACAAGTTGCTAGTGAATAAACGATGGCCCAAAACACCATTATTTATATAGTAATCTATATATACAGACATGTATATACAAATGTGTGTACAGATTAGTGTATACGTATGTTGTGATGCGAGTCCGGTAAGCTCACATTTTCGATAAAAAATCGAGATAACTCCGAAAATAACCGCGCGAACATCTTGTTTCAGGATTTATAAAATTGTTACGTAAAAGCGTATTTTTTGTAGATCGTATTCTTCGAGAAACGACGTGTGACGTTCCATACCGAGCGTATAAAAATCGCTACGGCGTAATTTCTGCTCGATAATATTGTTACAGTAATTTTATTTGATAAATATCAATAAAGACATATATCACAAAGCATATACTTTATTTAACGTGCCTTCTTCAACCTCCGATTACACAGGTTAGGTAAACTGTCAAAGTATTTTGTACAGGTTATTACAGTGTCCTACGAATCAAAAAACAAATTTCGTCGGTCAGCCGGTTGATGTCGTAATACTCGTAATGGCCTCTAACCGTGGAAGCGTTCCGATATTCACTGGTCTAGTTTCCACCAAACCCCTCAATTCGGTTCCACTCTGGTACAGGGCTGTGTTCAGTTAAGCAAGATGGAACGAACTAATGCAGGAAATACAGGAATTGGAACTAAAGAGCCGTCTACAATGGAGAGTCGTAGGCCGTAACAGTAAGAAATTGACCAATCACAATCGATTATTCTTCTGTACTTTGTCTGTGATTGGTCAATTTCTTACTGTTACGGCC